GCTTGCCTGAAAAAGAAAGGAACTGTTATCAACAGATGTAATAATAAAAATTATATAACCAAACAAACAAATGTCACACAGACACACATGGTGCACCATCGAAACGTAGTCAAATGTATAGCAAAATTATCGCATAAAATAAAAGGCTACCATCGAACGATTAAACGACATACAAGACAAGTCAACACTTATTAATAACCACAGAAACTAAAAAATATATAAATAAAATTAAATAAACTGAGTTCACCTTGAACCCTACTGGTTTCGTGGCTGCTGTTGGGCGGAGCTTGGGAAAGGCGCTGAAGCCGGAGCGGCTCTGTTCCTTTGCTGATCACACTGGAAACGCCAGTGGCCTCGCTGCCCGCATCCCAAGCAGATGTCTTCTGGCTGGGGCACTCTCCTTCCCCCAAACCCAAACGTAGCGCGTCCTGCATTAAAGCGGCGAAAATTACTCGCAAAACCACCGCTACCTCCAGCCAACTCACCCCTCTCTGGGGGAGGATGCACCTGGGTCGCTGACCTTTTCCTAGCCAGAGCCTGGGCCTTAAATCTCTTTCGCCTACCTGCCCTGAGCTGGGCATTTCTAATCCGCTTCTCGTCGTCGCTATCACTCGCCAATTCATCAGATAAGTACTCGTCCACGACGCTCCAACCACCTTCAGACTTATCCGCAATCCTGATCAATTTGTTGCGCCGATGCAGCAATTTCTTAATCTCATTCAAATCAGCGCCTACCTTATCGACAGCGTCGGCCTTCCCTAAAGAATCGCCTTCTTTCTCAACCCAATCCAGGAGCTCAGAATTAAACTCGAACTGAGCCTGATTGCCTATAAATCGAAACTTGACCTTCGCCGCCATTTTAATTTTCTGTGTCTCCGTCTTGTGTATCTTAATGGCATCATCAATATACTCTTTTACACCACCAATTGCGTTCTTGACTATCCCTGCGATATCCTCGGTAGTCAGGCCTATATTTTCTTCCATAATCAAAATATCAGAAGCAAAAAATCAGCCAAAAAACCGCGGAAATAGTGAATAAAAGGACAGCTGAAATACAAGCGACGTGTCACAGCGAATGGAATCGGTCAAGTGACCCAACACACCAAAGGCGCCCTCAGACCAATGGAAAATACATTTATAAATGATTTTGAATAATATTATTGCTTAGTACTGTAATGTTAATTTCTTGTATTAATTTTATCTTTTTATTGTTTGTACTGTCTGTGTGTTTGAATTTTTTCAATAAAAAATCCATGTCATGAATTATTTGATTGTGTTTAATGGACCCCAGGCGTTTACATCAAGCTACCGCGGTATCCCCGCTTTTTACAGCTGTACATGATTGCATTTGCAAATGGATCGCGGTATTCCCAAGTAAACTTACAACTGTACACGTTTATCACGGGGTCAATCACTCTTATCGCGGTATGACTGCGTTAGCTTGAAGAATGACATTGGATTGCGGTAGCCAGCCACTGCAATGGCACGCGTATAGGCTAAAGTTCTACTAGTTGTAAATAATCTCGATGATCTCGATCGATCCATGGAAACGTCACATCAACTACAACAGTAACCTACTTTAGCGAGTGTTATGACCCGATATTCTCGCATGAGCGTCGTCAGCGTATTTATCGTCCTCGTTTGAGCAACTTGTGTGTGGATATTGATTCGGTGATAGCCTACAGATATATGTTTCGATTGCGATGGATCGCGGTATCCCCGCGTAAATAATTTGTATACATTCATCTCGATTGCTAATCACCATATCGCGGTATCCCCGCGTAAATTGACAATTTGTATGCATTCATCTCGATTGCTAATAACCATATCGCGGTATTCCCGCGTAAATTTACAATTGGTATACATTCATCTCGATTGCTAAACACCATATCGCGGTATGACCGCGTTAGATTAACTTGAAAGAATGACACTGGATTGCGGTAGATAGCGGTACAGGCGAAACGCTTCATTGATTACAAACTTAAATCCCTCATTACCGCGAACAGACGATTACCGCGGTAAATCCTTGATTACCGCGATCAAAACGTTTGTGCACGGCCCCTAAGGGAAATACCAATTTTTTAGTATTCATTCTATTTGCTGTATTTGTTATGTAGTAGGAAGCGTAGGATCGATAAAAAAAAAAACGAAAATAAAAACCGTCCGATAAAAGAGTAAAATGGTACTAGGAATGCAACAAACTAGAAAATAAACTAATACCATCATATTAATTGAAATTTAGTTATAGTATTAATTTTATTTGCTTTTAAGTAGCCTATGTTGTTACTTAGTAGAAAGACAACAAAACCTAAAAAAAAAAGTATAATAAACCGATTGACGAACATACGATGATAATTAGGCCTAGTTATATTAAATTTGGCGTTTTCGCAACTTCATTGGCGCTCCATATATTTGTTGAAAACAAACCGCGACCGAAATGAGGCGCGACCGAAACGAAGCGCGACCGAAATGATCTGTATTCATTCGTCCGGGACGGAATTTGTAAACTGTTTGGTAGTGGCTATCGGCACTGCCGCAGTGCTGATTTGGCACTGCCGCAGTGCAGGTATATAAGGTATACCAAACTGGACGGTCACTCATGTTTAACTTTATAAACCTTCTGACGCCTGGATTTGGAGTCTAGTATATTATTTCCTATTATCTTGAGGAGCCTTTGTTCTTCGTCTAGCGTGCACTCTCTCAGCGTTCATCACGGTGTCGACAGCTGAGTTATTATTATTATTATGATAATAATAATAATGATGATAATAATAATAGTAATAATAATAATAATTAATAATAATAATAATAATAATAATAATAATATTTTTAATTAGTAACATTAGTTCCTGGAACAAGATTAATGATGTTGACGGTGATAACCGATATGATCATGTTAAGAATCATAAGAACAATTATAACATAATAATAATGTAATAATGAAATATAAATAAAAACAAAATTACTAAACAATAATGATAGTAGTAGTAGTAGTAGTAATAAATAAATAAATAAATAAATAATAATATTAATATCATTTATAATAGCAATAATAGAGAAGGTTTTTGTTAGAGCTTACAGTTGTATTTCCAAATACCAGTAAAATAATGTATTTAACTAATTTTTTGTACTATATTTATTATGAAATCGCCAAAAAAAAAGGAACAAAAAATATTTTAAAATAATTAAGGTATAAACTACTTTATCATTGTGTTTGACTATATCAAGTTTGGCTAGAATCAAGCATGTTAAAAGAATGAACAACAATCACAAAATAAATTGAAAACAATGGTGGTATTTGGCTAGAGTTAAGCATGTTAAAGAAAGTATAACAAAGTAATAATAATAATTATAATAATAATAATAATAAAATTAAAATCAATTGTGGTATAAATCAGTTTAGCACTGGTTTTGACTATATCCAATTTGGCTAGAGTTAAGCATGTTAAAAAATGAGCAACAAAATCACAAAGAAACCCCATAAAAACAATTGTGGTAAAAACCAGTTTAGCACTGTGTTTGACTATATCCATTTTGGCTAGAGTCAAGCATGTTAAAGAATGAGTAAGAAAATCTCCCTCCCCTTTCCCAAATAAAAAAAAATGGTGGATAAAAGCAGTTGGCTAGAGTCAACCATGTTAAAGAATGAGTAACAAAATCCCCCTCCCCTCTCTCAAATAAAAAAAAAATTGTGGTAAAAAGTAGTTTAACACTGTGATTGACTATTCTTGGGTAGATTCAAGCATAATAAAGAATGAGTAACAAAATCCACACATCCCCCCTCCGCCTCAAATAAAGCAATTGTGGTAAAAAGCAGTTTAGCACTGTGCTTGACTATATCCACTTTGGCTAGAGTCAAGCATGTTAAAGAATGAGTAAGAAAATCCCCCTCCCCTCTCTCAAAAAAAAAATAATTGTGGTAGAAAGCAGTTTAGCACTGTGTTTGACTATATCAATTTTGGCTAGAGTCAACCATGTTAAAGAATGAGTAAGAAAATCTCCCTCCCCTCTCCCAAATAAAAAAAAAGGTGGTTAAAAGCAGTTTAGCACTGTGTTTGACTATTCTTGGCTAGAGTCAAGCATATTAAAGAATGAGTAACAAAATCCACACATCCGCACATGTAATGTTTCTTATAAACAAGTAAATCTATTTAATTAAAGTTGGCCTGTCTGAGGAAAATACCACAAAAATTACTCTTTTTTGACAATAAGTGGCCTACTAAAAAAAAATCACCTTCAATATCAAACTTTAATCATGCAATTTAGACATTCTTTATTCAAACCTCTGAACTTGAACTCACTTGTTACAGTTTATTTGATATAAATCAGTGACAGTGACTGCTTTCTCACCATTTTCTCCAAATCCGTGCTATTTTTGCATTGTCATTTTTGCTGATATTGTACATTCTGCGTGAACTTGCAAGAGATGGTGCTTCAATCACACAAATGATGTCTTGTTCACTAATCCAACATTTATCCTCCTTATTGGGCCAGGTGAACAGTTTAGCTGGCCCATGTGGATGCATAAATCTAATGTAACAGTCACCATGCTCTTCTGAAACTTCCTTCCAAAGGCTTATCCATGCTTTGTTGTCAAAGATACAACACACATAATTCTGTTGCTTTATATCAGATGCTATGGTACTTAATCAGCCTCATCTGCCATGTCCTCTTCAGCATTAGTGACTGAAACCAAATCTGGTGGGTCAACTTGAGCACTCAATCTGAATGCATGCAACTTAGATTTTGAAATTGGAATGAATCGGTGAAACTTAAAGTGTTCCTTTGATTGTCCTCGCTGTTTCGAAACGATCCTTAAATTTGTCCTCATATCCATTGATCTCGTCTTATAATACTGTCCTGCACAACCGTCTGTGAAATAATGTATTTTGGTCATGCCTGGAAATTCAACTTGCAGCTGGGGAATAACAGTTTTTAGGAAGGCAAAAACTGTAACAGTATTGTGATAACTAACATCACTAACTACACACATATTTCTGTGTTGAAGGGTCCCATTATTAAGTCTACGGTAGCAAACGAATGGGTGGAGGGTGGCTTGCTTGTTTTCCCAGTGGAATAACTGTATTTCATTTTGAACAACATAATGAGTAATTCTCAGCAAAATCACACTGTACGACCACCTCCTTAATTTCTTTCATTGATGTTTTCAAATTCTGCATGTAATTAGTTTGTGATTTAGCAGTGAAGCTATGGCGTGTTAACTTCAACACCTGAGAAGAAAAGTTTTTCTATGAAATCGCTTTCTCTTTCTATTATTGTAGTCAAATTTGTCATGTAAATACTTCTTCAACATCAATGAGCTCTTCACAATTGCTCAGATGATCTATCTAGCCAACTTGCCCAGGGAAATCTTTGCAGTGCCCCATCATACAATTCTCATTTTCTGAGGAGCACACACATAGTTTCATGAGGTCTTTCACTGACGATTTTAAGCAAGCCTCTGCCATTAATGTGGGATTCTGATGGTATTTACAAACACATACAACATGCGTCCAAGATGCTCCTGCAAGAACAACCCACTCTGGCCGTAAGGCGGCAAATTTAGAGAATCCAACTTTCTTTTCAGGAAAATTTTCTTTCAAGGCAGCATAAATTTCTTCAAGGTTAGATAGCACAAGACGGTTCTGGTGTTTCATTTTGTTACCATCCCTGTCCCTAACACTCACAGTGTCTTTCAATCCGGGGCACATGCAGCTGTATTTATCACTTTCATAGAATTCTTTAATTTCATTTTTTTTACAATACTTTATTTTGTCCAAAAAAAAACAGCAATTTTTAGGTTTTTTGCCCAAGAAAGCAAAGTTTGATTAAATATTACTTGCTTATAAAATTTTTTACATCTCCAATTTTTTATATGTTCTAGCCAACACCTGGGGCCACAATTTACATAAGTTATAATTTCACGACTGCGTGATCCACAAGGTCAAATTCTAGGTCAAAAAGAACGTCAAAAGGTCATTGACATTACATATGGTCAATTACACAAAATAATGGCAGATTTAGATTCCTTAGTTAATTCTCTTTTCAGAAATACCAATTTTATGAATATTGGCCAACCCACTGCTGAGATATTGAGGCTTAAATGTTGGCGGCCACACCCATTTTGGCCAAT